GATGAGACTGGCACCTCCCTAAGGAATTCACGGTGTTGTGGCTGGCTGGCTTGGGAACTGGGGTTCAGTCTGGAGAGATTTCTATCTTGAGGTGGAAGCTAATAGATGCAACAGAACTGCATTGCACTGTCTCGTGGAGTTCTTTGGGCTGAACCTGACCCACAACCTGCTAAACAAGCCAGGTAAAGATTTGCACATGATTAGAGTTACGCTTGGCTAGTATTAACCTTCACTGGTTTTTCTGTGAGTTAGAGAAACTAACCTAGCCCACTTGATTATAGTTCACGTAGGGTGGGAACTGGGGAGGCAGGCTAATTCAATCAGCAGGTTATGGGTACTGTGTGAAGGCATCTACAGCGTACCATTACCTCAGGGACTAGAACCTGGGTCTCCCCACCCGAAGTCCAGCACCTTCCCCACCATCCCATGTTTCTCCATCTAGCCCAGTGTTTCTCAACCTCAGCAACTTTAAGATGTTGGATGGTTGTTGCAGATGGACTGCAACTCCCAGAATTCCCCAACCAGACTCGCTTGGACTTACTTTGATCTGGGATTGGTGAAATTTGGGGCCCGACTGGGGCTGGTGGTCCCGGTGGTCCAGGAGATCCAGGGGGGCCCTTCTCTCCAGGAACCCCCCTTGACCCATCTCGTCCTGGTGGGCCAGGAGGACCTGGAGGACCTGGAAGAAAAAGTATAGAAAATGGAGAGAGATGACCCAAGCAAGGCAGATGTTTTTGGTACTGACGGGCAAGGCGTGAGGTCCAGGTGGGCCAAGGAAGGACACAAAGGACATTATACTGAATTGGCAGGGCCCTCTGCAGGCATTTCCCAGCTTGAATGTTTCTTCTGCACTTTTACTATCAGCTCATTCAGTACAGTACCATATGGTGAGATTCTCCTTTGAAATGGTTGTCTACAGAACATGTGGAGTGCAGGGTTCTTATACTTAGTGACGAGGTGGCCAAGATTGTCCTTTCCTTCATGGTACAGTCCTCTTCCCAGTAGTCTGCAGCCTCCCTGACTGCCCAGATTCCCATTGTCTTCTCTGCGGTACAGTCTTCTCTCCCACAGTCTGCAGCCCCCCGATCTCCCTTGCTTCCCTTCAATCCCAAGGGAAGACCCCACGCCAGAAATCAGGTCCAACGTCCCTCCTAGCAACCTGGATTAGCAACCAGTTAATCCAAGGAGAACGTCTCGTCAAGCTCCGATTACTAATACGTATTAGAGGGAAGGTTAAGATAACGACACAGGAATCCCAGCACGTACTCTGCTAATGAAGAGCACGTGCGGGCCACGCAGAGCAAGGTTTCTCAACCTCAGCAACCGGAAGACATGTGGACTTCAACTCCCAGAATTCCCTGGCCAGGTGCTAAGCAGTTTCATGACATGGTAAAACTGTAAATCTGGGACCCGTTTATACAAAATACAATAGGTTATGATGGACTATTTGCAAAATGCAGGTGGGGTGAAGCTTACATGGGGATTTGAAGATTAGATTATAA